TGGGTGTGTGTGATCTAACTGAGCTGTGTCCACCCAGATACTTGGTGCAGCCCCAGACCAGGCTGGAGGAGTGGGGGTGTCATTTTCCATAGGAGTTCCACCTAATTTACCAGGAAACCTTTTAATCTTGGGGCAAATTTAGTGAGCTTGCACTTGGTATTGGACAAACAGACAGGGGGTGCTGCTGCTGTACTGACCACCATGCTGCCCAATGGTCTCGTTGATGGAGATGGCTGAAGTGGTCTCTGGTGTGGTGTTGGAGGACCCCAGGACAATAGTTCTGGGGGCCTTTAATGCTGTTTGTTTGTTGCATTTATATCCCACCTTTCTCTCCATGGAGCTCAAGGTGGCTTACATAGTTCTTCTGTTCCTCATTTAATCCCCACAACAACCCTGTGAGGTAGGTTAGACTGAGAGGTAGTGACTGGCCCAAGCTTCATGGCCTAGTGGGGATTTGAACCCTGGTCTCCCAGGTCCTACTTCAAACCTCTGACTATTGCACCAACACCATTCATGCAGAGGCTGCTGTTGGTCTGATCTGAGACTTCATGGCAACAATGGGGCAGTCTTTGTTTGGCCCAAAACACCCAACAACAACAACAGCAATAATAATTTATTTATACCCCACCCTTCCCGGTTCAGAAAACCAGGCTCAGGGCAGCTAACAACAAATTTAAAACACTTAATTGATGCAACAAAAAACAGCATAAAATACAGTATAAAACATGAATAACAATAAATTCAGAAGTCAGGGGAGAGGGTTGTAGCCAATGCTCTGTAAGGGGAACTCTGCTAGTACAATGGGATTTCGCCTTCCTCTCCTTCCATCACATGTCCCCCGATTCTGCTCTGGTTGGTCCCCAGACCTCCCAGAGCTGTTATTGAGAGCATGCAGGAGGCTGCAGTGGATAGGAGAGGGGGGAATTTCATGGTGCAAATGGACATCTCTCGTACTAACATTGGATACCACCTGCACTCTTGATGTAGTCTCAATGGGGATCTACCTAATGTGGCCAATCCCAGCTGATTGTCAGGGCTGTGATTTGCAGCACTGACAATCAGCTGATAGTTGGGGCTTCGAAGCAGCTTATTTGGTTTGGATAGCAGAAAAAGTAGAGACTGCTGTAATTCACTTAAAAGAAAATGGTTCTGTTTGTAACTTCTGTGAGCAGAGGATATTGTTATAAAATGAAATGATGTGTTTTCGTTTAGATTTCTTACTTTCTTCATGTTTGTTTTGTGCTTTACTTTTTCTTTTCTTTGCATATATTGGTTAAACCAGTGAAATACGTCAAAACAACAGTTGTTGTAAGCTGTGACTTCTATAGCCAGAGCCAAGTTGCAAAGAAGTTCTCTGCTCAGAGAGCAAACAGAAAGAGGCCACAGCTGGGGGTTAGCTTGGCTTTCTTGAATGAGTGTTTATGAATGAAGAGGGCTGGGAGGAAGGAACCAGTCCCAACTGCATCTCATTTAAAGTGGTCACTTAGTCTAGGTGCACATTAAAGGCTTAAAAACGCAGTGAGGTGGTTTGCCGCCTGCTGAGTTTCACATTGTATTTGCATGTTGCTGTGCACACCAGAGAGAGGGCAGGAATGCCTCTTATGTGTGTTACCTACTTGGTTTCCCTGCCTCTACAACCCACCCCCCAAACTCCTGCACATGAAGTTGTTATCTGTGCATGTGTTGTCACCTGCACATGGCTGTCTCAAGTGTACACACCTCAGCTTAACTGCAAAGTGAATGTGGCTTAACTTTTTCCTCTCTGAGTGAAACTGCTCTGAGGGCAAATGCATAAAACATAGGGTTGCCATTTTTCAAAGAGTGAAAACCAGGACACCCTGAAAATTGTTGAGCTTTGGCAGCCCTATACAACAGCACTATTTCTCAAGAAAACATAGGATATTTCAGCATTCTAGGTAACAGCATTTGTACACAGATTCAAAAGCCAGCCACAGTAAATGGCAATGTATACAGAGCCTTAAATACTAGCTAAGAAGCCTTTATAGCATGGCTTTCCTCTGAATAACTTGAAACAATTGATTCTTGTTTTTTCCTGAGTTCTCTATAAGCCACCTCGAGTCCCTGTTAGGGTAAAAAGGTGATGATGATGATGATGATGATAATAATAATAATAATAATAATAATAATGTTGACATGTAATTCAATTTTGATCAGCTGTATTACTTTTTATTACTCGAGCACCAATAACATGCTGGAGAGAAGCTGTTGAGCAGCTACAGGATATGGGAGGAGGAGCTTAGTCTTCTAGAAGTGCCTCACTGCTTTGGGGAAACTTGGCTTTTATTAATTAAAGAAATAATACTTGCTTTAAAAATGCAATTATTATCAAACAGAAAATCTTTAGATTTCCTTTTATTAGTTATTTCCAGAAAGGCAAGTGTTAGCAAGTGGGTACACAAGGATTTACATATCTCTGAGTTTCACCTACTTAAAAATCAAATAGTACTCCACGGTTGTAATGCTAGAAGATAACGCTGTAATTTCCTTTGTAATTGTTATTAACTCTGCCTAACAGAGTTTCATTTTCACATGGTTTCACCACATACAAATATTATGAGGTATATTTTGATCACAGCTTCAGATAGAATTTGAAAACAATTTCTTCCCCTGTTTTACAAAGGTTAAGCGTTTACCGTACTTGTTCTTAAAGATTCCTTTCAAACAAACAGAGAAAGCTGATATGCAAATGAAAATGTTTTATATCCTTCTGCCCATACCGTCTTGCTCCATACTTGCTCATTCACTTGCTCATGTAAACAAATATGAAACAAAATTTGCAAAAATTCATACACACAATCACATCACGTTTTCCAGTTCTGTACATTTAGGCATAGTTGTTTAAGCAGTAATTTAGCCAACCTGTTTATTATTATTATTATTATTATTATTATTATTAATGAAATTTCTATACCAGTCTTCATCTGAAGATCACATATAAAAACATTAAATTTCTAATAGTGCAATCCTAAATAAGTCTACTAAGAAATAAACCCTATGTCATTCAGTGGGGCTTACTTGGGTAACTATGCATAAGAGTTCAGTCTAAAGGGTCTAGCCCCGGGATATGTCAAGGAGTGCCTGTGAACCTTACTGATCACCTCTAAAGCTATCAAATTAAACTAGCTCTCTTTGGAGGTTGTATTGTCAGCCACAGGGAGCGTTTTCTACTAGTGGAGACCTCATTACTGAAATCCCTTCGCAGGGACCCCCCTCAGGCTTGCCGACTGTCAGCAGTTGACAATGTGATCAAACCTTCCTGCTCTGAGGGCTTTGGATGTGGAGGGCTAAATGCTTTGCGACCTTTTTGCTTCTGTTTTACTTTGAAGAACTTGCTCCGTTTTAAATGTCTTGTTTTTCTTTTCTTTTTCGGACCTCATGGTCGTTTAATGTATTTTTCAATTGCTCTCTTTTTCTGTTTTTGTTTAAGGTATTATTTTTTTTCCTGGGTGAAGGAGAGGACTCAAAGCACCTCTCCACCCCATGTACTTTTCATTTTGTATGTTCTGACGAAAGGAATGAGGAGGTCTGTATGCATCTTCCACACATCCATCCAGCCCTCCAGATGTGCTGATCAGCATCTGGATCTCTGCTAGCAAGTTGCAGTGCACAGAGAAGGAGAGAGGGAAGGGGATGCCTGAAGGAGGCGTGTGCAGACGTTCCGTTCCCCATAAGGGCCAGGAACACACTGAGTTGGGGAGACAGAAGATTCCTTTAGTCAGTGTTGTGGGCCCAAGCCTATGGAACTCAAGGGCTGACTGAGATTTAGGCCACATTCAGGCCATACATTTAAAATGCTATGGCATCAGTTGAAACAATCATGGCTTCCCTCAAAGAATTATGGGATCTGCAGTTCGTTAAGGGTGCTGAGCGTTATTAGCAGACCCCTATTCCCCTCCCAGCGCGAACATTCCCAGAGTGGTTTAACAACCAGTCCCTTTTCACAGGGAACTCTGGGAATTGGGAGCAATGGGAGCAGGGGGAAGCACATGAGATACAGGGCTGGCATTCCCCTCACCGCCATTCCAAGCTCATGTCAGGGGAACAGGAAGGCTTTAGATACCAGAGCGAACCACCTTCTCCACCCTCCCAAGCACTTTAGGATTGCAACGTTAATGACATTATTGTTTTGTGTATTGTTTGTAAACGGGGGGGGGGGTTGTTTGGGCTGAAAAGTAGTGTAGAGGTTTTATTTTTTTATTTCATAAAATTGATACACCACTTGATTGTCAAAACAAAATGACACCTCAAAAGGGTTTACAAAAGATAATTTACAAAAGAAAGATTTACAACCCTACTTTAAAACATACAGAAGTTATAATACAGTGGTACCTCGGGTTAAGTACTTAATTCGTTCCGGAGGTCCGTTCTTAACCTGATACTGTTCTTAACCTGAGGCACCACTTTAGCTAATGGGGCCTCCCGCTGCTGCCACACCGCCAGAGCACGATTTCTGTTCTCATCCTGAAGCAAAGTTCTTAACCCAAGGTACTATTTCTGGGTTAGCGGAGTCTGTAACCTGAAGCGTCTGTAACCTGAAGCGTATGTAACCCGAGGTACCACTGTACCGAAATAGGCATGCTCCTATAAATGTTCTTATAAATAAATTCTAGGACGCACAGAGTCATTACTCCACACAAACAAAGGCTGCCATTGTGCGGAAAGAGTAGTAACCGTAGGCAAGCTGGTTTTCAGGTACTGTCTGGGGCCAATGGGAGAGGTAATTTATAAGCCACCTTGAGTTCCATAGGAGCAAAAGGCAGATAATTAATTAATTAGCAAGCACCTGGAGGGCACAAGCTTGGTGAAGGCTGATGTAACCCTTGATAAGGCTCCATGGAACCCCCAGGGTTTGGCAGAGCAGTCGGAACCCCACGTACTAACAATATACAGATAAGATATAAAAGTACTCCTCCCTTGAACATAAGCTTGGCACAGGCCTCGAAACAAGGAACAGAATATTTTTTACTCTCTCTTTTTTTGTCTGCGTATCGGGAAGATAAATTGATCTGCTGGATCTGTTTATCTCGCTCACTTCCAAGCCTGATAAAAAGAAGAAAATATACAAAACTATCAAAAACCTTTGTATAAAAGTTAAGAAGTGGTAAGAGCACCATGTCTCAACTTCCCTCTTCAGCTCAAAGTGCCCTTCAGGTGCACATGAGGTACAAGCTAACAAGCTTCCATTTCCTCTTGTCAGCTCCAAGATGAAAGCGGGAGATGGAGCCATTTCAAGCTTCTGCCCTCCTCCAGCTCTGAGCTGTTAAAAGTGGGGGGACCTGTGTTGTGCCCCTGTTTCCAACCCCACGCTCAGAGTTGGAAATAGGAGCAGATTTTCAGGATAGCAAATTGGTTTTATACGCAACAATGCCAGCAAGAATATTATTGGCACAGAAATGGAAGCAAGAAGAATTACCGACGAAAGAAGAGTGGCAAATGAAATTAATGGACTATGCATAATTAGATAAGATGACAGGAAGGATCCAAAACCTGCGGGACCAGAGATTCTTAGAGGACTGGAGTAAATATCTGAACTATTTGAAAAGCAATTGTAATACAGTGGTACCTCGGGTTAAGTACTTAATTCGTTCCAGAGGTCCGTTCTTAACCTGAAACTGTTCTTAACCTGAAGCACCACTTTAGCTAATGGGGCCTCCTGCTGTTGTCGTGCCGCCGGAGCACGATTTCTGTTCCCATCCTGAAGCAAAGTTCTTAATCCGAGGTACTATTTCTGGGTTAGCAGAGTCTGTAACCTGAAGCGTATGTAACCTGAAGCGTATGTAACCCAAGGTACCACTGTAAACAGATTACGGTAGTAGATCTGCAAGAAGTTTTGTACAAAATATTGCAGTGAAGACTATGATGCGAGTTATTAGTTAAGGATGATTTAAAGTAATAGAGAAATTAAGAAATGTAAACTAAGTGATAAAGATTGAAAAATCTTCAGAGGTGGTTGATGGAAGTCCAAAATATTGTCTAAGATAAGAAAATATGTTAAATGATTGTTGGGAATGATATGTATGTATATACGGTATATATATGTGTGTATTTGTTGTTGTTTAGTTGTTTAGTCGTGTCCGAGTCTTCGTGACCCCATGGACCAGAGCACGCCAGGCACTTCTGTCTTCCACTGCCTCCCGCAGTTTGGTCAAACTCATGCTGGTAGCTTCGAGAACACTATCCAACCATCTCATCCTCTGTCATCCCCTTCTCCTTGTCCCCTTCATGGATCACTGCCTTGCCGTGGCGAAGGGGCTTGAATAACTCAGAGAAGCTATGAACTATGCCGAGCAGGGCACCCAAGATGAACAGGTCATAGTGGAGAGTTTTGACCAAACGTGATCCACCTGGAAGAGGAACCGGCAAACCACTCCAGTATCCCTGCCAAGAAAACTCCATGGACAAAGACAACAGGCATGTGTGTGTGTGTGTGTGTGTGAATATATATATATGGAAATAGGAGCAGATTTTCTCCACAGTTCCACCACAGTTCAAGAAGGACACTGACAAACTGGAACGTGTCCAGAGGAGGGCAACCAAAATGGTCAAAGGCCTGGAAACGATGCCTTATGAGGAACGGCTAATGGAGCTGGGCATGTTTAGCCTGGAGAAGAGGAGGTTAAGGGGTGATATGATAGCCATGTTCAAATATATAAAAGGATGTCACATAGAGGAGGGAGAAAGGTTGTTTTCTGCTGCTCCAGAGAAGCGGACACGGAGCAATGGATCCAAACTACAAGAAAGAAGATTCCACCTAAACATTAGGAAGAACTTCCTGACAGTAAGAGCTGTTTGACAGTGGAATTTGCTGCCAAGGAGTGTGGTGGAGTCTCCTTCTTTGGAGGTCTTTAAGCAGAGGCTTGACAACCATATGTCAGGAGTGCTCTGATGGTGTTTCCTGCTTGGCAGGGGGTTGGACTCAATGGCCCTTGTGGTCTCTTCCAACTCTATGATTCTATGATTCTATGATTCTCCTGACCTCATACAGTGTTTGAAACCTAGTAGGTGGTAAAAGACTGCACCCTGCCATCGAAAGACTGCTTTTTTTAACTGGCAACAACAACCTTTTGTCAGCTAAGCACTGAGTGTCAAGATAGCTTCGGTAAACATCTTGCTTCTGCAGTCTATAATACACAGGCAGTACGAGACCGGTGAGCAGGAAAACACATCAAGCTGTCTCATGGTTTGACAAAGAATGCCATCATGAGAAATCTCTTCTGAGACAAGCATTTCAGCTATTTCAATCCAGGAAGAACCCGAGCCACTTAAAATAATATCTAAACATGAAAGAACATCTTTCAGAGCTCTTCCATAAGAAAAAGAAATCTTTCTACGAAGGCCATTGGCATCATCTGCTCAGGGCAATTCAAGCAAAGGACAGCAAGGATTTCTGGAGGATAGTTTCTGGTGCCCTTCAAGAAGGTAGAAACCAAACAACCACCATCATTCCTGCCTCTAGCTGGTTCAATCACATAGCCAGTTCAGACATGGCGGGAAAAGGCATGTCTTCGGCACCTTGGCGGATTGTTGGACTGTATTTATTTTTCCAGTGTTTCAAGATCAGGTTTCCCAAAATCGGGAAATTGCTGTTCTGATTTGATATGATTGGGAGGAGCTTAAATATGAAAAAAATGTTATGAATCTAAAATTCATCCAGGTCTATAGTTAAACAAATGTTTCAGAAACATTAATACTTTTAAAACTGCCAGACTTGTTTTGACTCTTCAGCAACTTTGCAATCTTGGAGAGTTTCATAAATTCATAATTCCAACGTGGGCCTTCTCAGTGATAGCATCCACCCTCTGGAATGCCCTCCCTCAGGTGATTTGTGAGGGAGAGACAGGCATGACCTTTAAACACTTCTTTAAAATATACAGTATATGTTTACCAAAGCTTTCTTGGACTCTGGCTCTTAATTTTTTTCTTTTATGTTTTGTACACTGCTCAATTTTACTTCGAATATACAGCTGCATTTTGAAACAAACGGTTTCTAGAATGTGGCAAACCCAGGCACAGATAGATTTTCCATGGAAGAGAGACCCATGGCATCAAGATTTCTAAGAAGCATGCAGTGTACATTTTCATATATCTCATCGTATGTGATGGCAGAATCTTGATGATCTTCCATTCATGTTAACATTTGTATGTAGGTGCACGCAAATATTTAGAGATTTTCTCTCACACTTGCTGTGTGTGTGGATAGATAATGTGTGTGTGATGGATAGTTTGTGAGATAAATTTCACAGAATTCCCTTATGCTGCCTTCTATCATTTAATAGAATTTTGCTTTGCTCTGCAAGTTACGCACATGCAATTTTGTAACTCGAAGGGGGCACATGATCACATTTAAGGTTTAATTGAAAGATTTACTGTCCAGGTTAAAAATCAAGTTTTCACCTCTCAGTGATCAGCTAGTTATACATTTGAGCTGAACTCCTCCCCAACCCCATTTCAATAAACAATCAACTGCGCATTCACTTGATTATGAGCTGCTGATGCAGCATTGTTAAGTCTCAGCCCTTTGTGTGGATTTTGGCAGAAACAGCAGTATTTTCCAGCTCATCGTGCAAATTGACTTGCCAAGAAACTCAGTGATCTCTTGGGGGCACCGCTATCTGAAATCAGCAGCAAACACTGAATGAAACCCAAAAACATGCTCAGTGCCGATTACATAGTCACTCACTATGTGGTTTCTCCCTCTATTGAGTGACGCCTCTGTAGCACATACAAATCCACAGATCTTTGTCATCCAGCAAGACACACCTCTGGACTAAACCAGTCAAATTTCGTATGTTATCATCTCATGTGCATCACATGTGAGATTTTCAACATGTAAATAAGTCCTTCACAGTTCAGGCCACCACAACAGTGAGGTTCTGGGTTAGCTAACTGAACTGACTCAGAGGTTATATTCAGAAGTAATGTTCAAGTAGGTTTTTACAATGTCCTGTGCCAATAAATAAAACAAAACAAGTTACATTGCTTTGAACCAATAGTCAATTTGCTTCATCTGCAGGAACTTTCACATGAACTGCATTCTAGACTCACATACTTTTTGAGAGTCACATGTGAAAATGCTCTTGGTTACTATGCCTCAGCCCATGAGGCATGAGTGCAAGGCTGTGAATGATAACCAATTTATCTCACTTGCAAGCTAGCAGTATTATCACTGTGAATAGTTATTAATCATTTCTTAAGTGGTTTTACCAATCTGATCTTATTTTATCCAACTGCATTTCTGCTACATCAAAAGTGCATCTAAATGCAGTAGCTGGGGACTCAGCTATACAGCCACAAATAAAACATTTTAAATGTATTGTAAAGCGCAGTATACAAATGTGACAATAGATGGCAACAGTGAGCTATGCAAAATTTGATGTATTTTTCAAAATGTTTTTTATGTGTGTGTAGATTCTACCTGGGAGGAAAGGTGAAACGTATCAGTCCATTTCTGATCTGTGTCCATTTCATACCTGTTCATTCACAAGTCCATTTCGTCTGGGTTTCCACATAAATCACTGGAATATATATTTTTTAAAATGCCACAAGAAAATTCATATTTTCATTTACAGAACACATTTAAGACTGCATTTTATCTCAATGTTCACATCTCTAAACAATATTTTATCCTAAAATACACATTTTAAGGCACTTTGGTGCTTTTTTTAAGCCAAGATCTATATTGCCAAAATCAGGGAAGTGTGAAATTTGAAGGGCAATTTGGTCTCAATCCACACCTTAGTCCAGGAGGTGTGGATCATGTCAGTTCACATCAGAATTCACAGCAATCCAAGGTCTCGAAGTGATGCTGTTGGCTAGGTCTTTGGAAACACAATGAAGCCTTCGTATAATAGAAAGATGATTGCATCTAAACCCAAAGTGGGAGTTTGACTCTGCTTGAAACTACTGGAGAATGAAAGATGCTAGCAGAGGAATAAAAGTAAAGATGATTCCATTGAGGTATTAACCTTGTCCATATACACATGCGCGTGCACACAATGAATGTTTCTCCTCCTGACAAGACTCGCCGTCCCTCCCTTTTACATTCCAGAGTTATTACGTACCCTGCAGAAATGAAGAACTATTTATGCCCCGGGCATAGATAAATTCAAAAAGCATTTGCAATAATACAGAATGCTTAGACAAGCAACATTTTTCCCCTGCTTATGGAGCCTGGAAGCAAATTCCCACTGGTTTGCATAGATCAGGTCAAGAAAAATGGTGCGAGGGAGATGGCCAGGGTGTCATTGCTTGGCCAGGATTTGAACCTGGGTCTCTCACCCACAGATGTCCAGACTCAAATCAGAAGGAAAATATTTCTGTATTAGCTAGCCAGTGATCTGTGGTTTTTAGTTTTTATGTGATTTTAAAAAATTGTATAGTAAACAGCTTTGATATTTTTTATGACATTGCAGGATATAAGTGTTTTTTTAATCAAGCAGTCAATTAATGGGCCTGATACCCCTGTTGTGTATGTACATTAGCGCTACAGAGAATCCCTTTGCTTTCATTCTCCTTTTTTCCATTTCACAGTTACCTCATTTCTATTTTCTAGACCATTTTCTAGGTTGTGTTGTTGGCTGGACCTGAACCAAAGGAGAAGCAGGTGTTTGCTTATAAAGCAGGGTTATCCCTGGAGTTAGGATACACAATGCCTTAGGGGTGTTGCCTCACTCTAAATAAGATCTGCGGGGTGCTGGGGCAGGTGAAATGTGCTGATTATGTAAATCCACATATTTTAATATGTGCAATGAATACTTAAATTTGTTCTTTCCCCCCCCTTCCATGCTCAGATGCTGTTTTATACTGATTTCCCAGCATGAGTTTATCTGCCAAACTTGGCTTCCTAATAAGATCCTGCTCATCTCAGGGGTCTTTGGCAAGTAGTTGATATTGTTAGGCCGTGAGCTCAGCCAGAGGCAGTGTGCGTATCTAATCTTTTAATACAATAAACTGGTTTCTTTATGGATTATGTCAAATGTACTAAACGCACACTTGTTTATTGTTTGACTGTGTAATGAGGCATCTGGGGCTTTGTACAACTTCAAAATATTAATAAACATGATTGCCTCTAAATAATAGATCAAACTAAAAGTGTTTTGACTCAAATAAACACAGGCAAGATAATGCCTGGAATTTAAAGACTTCCATTGATGACAAAAGCAAAAATAGGACTTGTCTATGCTCTGAGTTCACTTCTGGTCACCTACATAGATGTCAGTAACCTCATGTGAAAACATTTCTGCACAGACCCTGCCAACCTTCATAGACCAAGGACTAAATTTCCATAAGACTTGTGCAGCATTTATTTTTTCCTCCAAATCCACAAAGACAAAGACTAGGTCTGGCAACAGGGCTGATTCTCACCCCTCCTTCCTGCTTAGTCAGAACAATAACAGCCCATAAGCTCCCATTTTTTGTGCACAGGACACGCCTAGTCTCTCATGTCGCCTTCCCATTGGTTGGGCTCTCTCAAGCTGTCGGTCATCTGCCCTCCTGCTACCCAAGATAAGGATAGAATGATGTATAATAGCTTTGTCTGCAGCTAAACCTCTTTAAGACCCTTCAGGTCCACCATGTGTGGAAAGTTTAGCCCAGGGGTCAGCAAACTTTCAGCAGGGGGCCGGTCCACTGTCCCTCGGACCTTGTGGTGGGCCGGACTATTTTTTTTGGGGGGGGATGAACAAATTCCTACGCCCCACAAATAACCCAGAGATGCATTTTAAATAAAAGCACACATTCTACTCATGTAAAAACACGCTGATTCCTGGACTATCCGTGGGCCGGATTTAGAAGGCGATTGGGCCGGATCTGGCCCCCGGGCCTTAGGTTGCCTACCCATGGTTTAGCCCCTCATTTAGGCACTTTTTTGTTTGTCCCCCCCCCCACACACACATACCTTCCTTCCTCGCTTAAAAAAATAAAAGAAAACCTTTCTAATTCAGACCCTAGAGGATGGTTCCAGAACACCCTCAGGAACATATCCCAAGAGCCAGGCTCTTCAGGTCGTACATTACAAGGGTTTGGCAAGCAAGAGATCAAGGCAAGATGAGCTGAGTCTTTCTTCCAGCGATGTTCAGAGAGTAAGCTGGCAGTTTTCCAGTTTCCAAGTTAATCTCCTAAGAGGCTGTGAACTTCCCTGCATCTCACTAGCTAGGAAGGCAGTGGCAAAAATCCCTAAAGGTCAGAGCCTTCAGAGGGTTGGTGGGCTCCATGACACTTTCCTTTTTTACCCAAGGGGAATGAACATATCACACACATTTGGCATTTCCAATATGTGGGGTGAGTAATAAAACAAAACAATATGGACTGAGTGCAACTGCCACTTCTCTGAAACTTTGGTATGCTGTGTACTATATCTTCATGAAAAATTAACTCCTAGTGGGCACTGTTGATTGTACAGTGGTAACTTGCAAGACGAATGCCTCGCAAGACAAAAAACTCGCTAGACAAAAGGGTTTTTCGTTTTTTGAGCTGCTTCGCAAGACGATTTTCCCTATGGGCTTGCTTCGCAAGACGGAAACGTCTTGCAAGTTTGTTTCTTTTTTCTTAACACCGTTAATACAGTTGCGACTTGACTTCGAGGAGCAACTCATAGAACACGGTGTGGTAGCCTTTTTGAGGTTTTTAAAGACTTTGGTGATTTTTGAAGCTTTTCCAAAACTTTCCCAACACCGTGCTTCGCAAGACGAAAAAAATCGCAAGACGACAAAACTCGCGGAACGAATTAATTTCGTCTTGCGAGGCACCACTGTAGATGGTAATGAATTCACTACACTTTTTACAGGCTCGACTGCAAAAAATCATGTAATTTAAAAAGATCATGAGACAGTGAGGCGCTGAACCAAATGAACTTTTGGGAGAGGGATTTGATTTTTCTGATCTTGTTCCCAGTTGCTAAAATGTGCTGCTCCACACACCATTCAACACTGTCTGCTGGTAGGAAGCAGGTACATTAGTACTGTATTGAATATGCTACCAATGTATTTGAAGCTGAGGTTGCTTTTTCCCATCCTAGGAGAGTTACAAAACTATCACTGTCTGTCTTTCGTAGCTGGGAATAAATGAGAGGCGGTCTAAATTTTGTAAAGTCCATGCATCTTTTATGAGTTGGTACTGAATCAGTTAAGTGGCAGGCAGCTATACTGACAGTGGCCAGGTGCAGGGAAGCACAATTTGAGCCACCTTAAAATGAATGATTGCTGAAGGTCTGAGAGAGAACAAAAAGTGCCTCCAGTATTTTGCAGGAGAGCTTCAAGCACATACCAGAAATTTAGGTTTGCGCAATTCAAGCGGATTAGTGCAACAAATCCACTTTAAAAAAAGAAACAGACTTTGCAGGACTTTGCAGGAAATGTAACAAACAGTGTGGGAGGAATGAACGATTTAACACCCTGCAAGCAAATCAGGACGAATGCTAATCGTTGCAGAACTGCACCACCAACAAATAATAACAAGTGCTCCATAAAAATGGGATACATTCTTACCTCTGTGTATACTTTGTGCAAGCGAATCAGGACAAATGCTCAATAAATTGATCATCTGGAGCAGCAATAAATAAATGAAGTTGGTGGCGCGTGGAACTACACTGAATGACTAGAGAACTGCATTGAAAAATTCAACGAGAAGTGTGAATTTTGATGGGTGGCTATGTTTCGCTTTGAGTATTGTTTCGGAAAATGCACATTGACTATGTTTGTTGAAGGGCAGATTATCTTATGGTGAAAGACAGATAATAAATCAAGATAATAATGATAAATCCGAACTGAAATGAATGTCTCCTCTGTGTGTGCCTGGACAGCTCAGTTGGTCAGAGTGTGGTGCTGATAATGCCAAGGTTGCAGGTTCGATCCCCGTATGGGACAGCTGCATATTCCTGCACTGCAGGCAGTTAGACTAGATGATCCTCAGGGTCCCTTCCAACTCTACAATTCAATGATTCAATGATCCCTAATACTGAATGGCTGTGATTCTCCAGGGTTTCAGTCAGGAGTTTTTCCTAGCCTTGTCTGGACTGAACCTGGAACCTTTTCTTGGCGAAACATACTCTGCCATTGAACTCCAGTCCCTCCCTTTCAGAAGGCAAAGCCTTGGGAAAATGTGAACCAATTTTGGAAGCTAAGCGAAAAGTACAGCTGAAAACGTAATAATATTAAAAGCTTGTATGGTCCCAGCTTTTAAATCTGCTACTGAAACTCAACAAGTCCGGCCTGCATTCTGTCTCCCCACCCCCCACTGTAATGAGTGTGATACCTTAACGCAAAAGTTGAAAGTCTCCATGGTCTGGATCCAATCTATTTGTTTGTTCTTTGTGGAAGAACAGCTTTGGTTCAGAGATTTCCAGCTGGTAAAACTTTCACTCTGTAAATTCAGTGTGAAACAAATGGGCTCCTTGCAACGGTGCCTTTGGAGAACTTTCAAAGAAGCCGACGCATGTCAGATGTATCCAATTAGCAGGGGGCTGTGACAGCATGTTGAAGCCTGGAGTCGAGAGAGGGAGAGAGAACCCCAAGAAGAGGCTGCGTGAATCACTGCGAGGTGATACGTCGGAGTTCTACAGCGCAAACATAATGTCTACTCAGATGCAAATCCCACTGAGCTCAGGCAAAAGTGGTCATAATTTTACTTTGGCATCAACTTCATTAACAACTACCATTCCTCAGTTTTATTAATAAAGTCCATTTTCTACCTAGAAGTAATTCAGTCTGACATAGTAACTCCATTGGCACTTGGCTGGAGAACTGCACTTCAAAATTCAGAGAGATGTGAATCTTGAAGGATAACTCTGTTTTGGTCTGCATATAGTTTCATAAAGCATGAGTTAGGCAGGCTTGCCTTTAAAAGTGTGTTGCATCAAATGTCTCCCCCATCCCTACTGGTTGCATGTGTAAAAGTCCCCTGCTCAATTCTTACTAGCATATTCAAACCAACCAGGTTACTGATACTTAATGTTGTCTCTGTTACTCTGTCATGTGATTCACTCCTCTTACATCACCTTTGACTTCCCTTTGAAGCACACTTGGCAGGGAACAGACAGCCAATGGGTACAGGTTTTCTTTTTACAAGCTCTTGGTACTAAAATGTGCCAGTTATTATTGCTTAAATAAAGAAGAATTTGCTTGATCCCTAGATACAAACATGGGGCAGAATACTCTCCAGTAAGAGAGAGCCCTAACAGAGGTTTTAAACCCAAAACATGCAGCAAAGCATGGGAATAGAGGCTGTTAGACCTTTAAAATATCCTATTTTAGTTTGCTTACAGTGCTTCCCCTTTCTACCCTAGAATAGACAACACAGTTTGGTAAGTTAACATGGTGGGGTTTTTTTACTTACAAACTTTCCAAATTTCAGATTCATGTGTTTTTCCATGCAGCAGCTAGAAATTTTGGGTTACAAAATATGGTAAAACGTTTTCAAGCACATGGTCTGAGCTTGAAGCAATCAAGCTCAGGTGTCTGGTTGGGTTCATGTGGTGGAGAAACTTAACTTCCTTCCAACTTGAGGGGGCCTGACCTAGTTAAGTCTAGGAGGAAAGTAGTGATGCTATATAATAAGCTCCATATAAAATTTGTGCCAGCAAGTCAGGATTAACGTTCAATAAGCAGGTCATCTGGGAGGGCATTAAGGGAAGAAGCTGTTGTCATTGTCATAATTGTCATATTGTTTGTTGTGCTTTAAGGAACAAGCACTACCCAGTTAACATAGAAAATGCTCTTAAGCAATGCAAGCCTCTTTTATTTCAGGCTGAAGTGTTGAGAGCAAGATAAAATAGAGTGGATTATGTGTGCCAACAGTTCAGGGTCTGTTTACAATGTTGTTCTTTGGGATGAGCTCCATGTAATCCAAAAAACTGCTAGGAGGGCTGCCCAGCCCAAACCAATCCTGATTGGAGGGGGCTTAAGAATCCGGCCTCAGCAAGACTCTGTCTTAATAAAGTTGTGGGTAGATGTGCAAGAACTGGCCTAGCAAATGGCCTAGTGAGTAGACAGATCAAATAAATAGCGGCACAAATGCTGCTTCAGTCATAATAAACCAGATCATTTCAGAGAAAACTAGAATAGTTTCTGTTAGCTTATGAACGAAAAGACGGGCATATAAAAAAAAAAAGCTATTAATTTGCTGTAGTTCCTCAGATAGATTTAAACCGGATGCTTCTTCCCCGAGTTAAATTCTCTCTTCACCATCATACCTTGCAGCTGTCTGATAATTAAGTCAGAGACAAAGAATCAAAGTCTGGGAGATTTTGGAAAGGATGAACATAGGGGTTTTAAAGTTTTAGATGAGTCTTAGTTTAGGAAAACAATAAAACCCAAAATGTTTTAATGAAAGATCAGCTTTAACATCCGTAATCTGGCCAGACAGCAGCAGGATGAGGAGAATGTTTGATGTAAAATCAAGGTCGTGCCCTGAAAATCAGAGACAGGCCTTGAGAGGGGTGTGTGTGAGCCATTAAAAAGGAAACAGAAACCTGAGAAGGGCACTGCAGAGCTGCCAAGGCCTCTGCTCTGTCTCTCTTTTCTGTGAACATTCGAGTCCCTGTTTTTTCAGCATCCTGGTGTTGTCAGAGGAAAGACGATTCCAGAATGCAGAGGAAATCTAGGAGATTAATTTAAAAGTTTTGTTTGATCATGAATCTAGTTGCAGAGAGGAAGTTTGTTAATATATTTAAAAGTGCAACCCTAAGAGCAGATGAAATTATTGTCCCATAATAAGAACGCTTCAAATTGCTCCAGAGCAGGTAAAAAGCAGAATGGCAGTCATTTGCAGTTCCCCTGCCTGCTTTCACCTCAGAACAGGCACAAGAGCATCTGGGAAGGAGAGGACAAAGAATATTTGGCCTTGAAGTGGCCTCTGAAGTGAGCCATATCTCTGGACCTCACAGACCTCTGGCCCCAAAGACATGTGCAACTCTCACCCAGCATTCCAAGGAAAGGGCCGGAACAGGAGTGAAAACAGTGTGGGATTTTGTGTTAGTGTATCACACTCATTACATGGGGGCAGGGGGAGAGAATGCAAGCAGGGGAGAGATTGAAAGAGGGATGGGGAATACAAGCTTTTAATATTATTACATGCCACTCCAATTTCCATGAGCGGTACGAGATTCCAGGGGTTGTAGGCAGTTGACCAGGGTTTGTGTTCCCTTCTGGGACAATGAGGCACAGCAGAGACTGTGGTGTCTTTATGATATAAGGTTTTATTTATGTATATATACAACCTGCACCTAGATGGAGAGATTGCAGAGCGTTCAAATCCTATGAGGGTCTGGCTCTGTTGTGCCTCCTTGTCTTCACTATTTCAGAAACATGAGATCTCACAGTTCTAGCTTGTCTGTCAGAAACCTCTGGGCCCATGTGCTGCTGCCTTCAGACCCCAGAATGCCCATCAGACAGCCCGTTAGATCTTCCTAGGCAGGAAGGTGTATAAAGGGGCTTTTTCCTGTTGTAGTTGAGCTTAGCTTAAGCAGCAAGTTCTTTCTGAGCTCAGGCGTGTTCCTGTACCTTGGTTATTCATGGCATGCTCCTGATATTTGGCTTCTGTTTTCTCCTTCAATCTTACTTATACTTTAGTTCTGACTGCTTCTCAGCTTCTCTAACAGCCCAGACTACTGCCCCTGGCCCAACCCTGACACCCCCTGTCCCAAACCCAAGACCATCCAGGAGCCTTCTCACCTTCTGATCAGACCACACAATCTGGTTTCATGTGCCACCATCAGAAGACAATTGTACCGTACATCTATAGTTTAAGATGGCTTGAGCAAACTAGCCAAGCAACACACCAAAGGGCCAAGGCAACAATTTTTAAACAAAATTCCTACACACAAAATATTGCATTTAATTCATTCCCTGAAGCCCTGATGTGTGAGCCAACATGAGACTGAGTTCCTAATGTGTAACAATACCCATGGAATATGAGATTAGGCATGCCATTGGGAATGGGGAGGGGGGAGGCACAAACTCATAGCAATTACTAAGCTGCATCTGCATATTACATATTTAATTGAAATTATAAATTGATAATTTATAATGAAAGGCTGCCAAACTGTAACCTTAATGAGACCAACCATAGAAACAACTCGACATAATGGTTTAAAACCAGAGGGCAACTTTTGCTAGATTATGCCTTTGTAATAGCAGTAAATCATAGCTCTGCCATTAATATTCTTTAAAAGTGGTGAAAGGATGAAAGCAATCACAACCTAGATTAAATCTCATAAAAGTTTATGAATGCAAAGGAAAAGATGTTGCAAGGAATATTTATTAAATCCAAACAAGACTGAGGTGGGACTGATATTCAGTTATTAAATATGAAAATTTGCGTTTTCGTGGTTCTTCAATGGTTTCGGTACAAGCACATCCAACTACCCAAATAAGCACCATGACTTTACATGTAACAAGGAAGTGGATGGTTGAAATATAGTAACTGTACTAGGAAGCTCACGTGCAGTGATCTAAGCCACTTTGATTGAAGGAAATATATTGATTTTTGCACTGGTTCTTTTGACATGGCATTAAAGAATATGGCAGATGCATATGATGTGGCAACAGCTCCAAAAACCCAAAGACCCACAGTGACAATAGTAACTAAGATTTCTGGAATGCAAGCATTCAGCCCGTTGGCTCTGCCAAAACTAGCTCTTTTGTACATTGAGGCTTACCAACAAACCATTCCCAAGCTTTACTACACTGTTTACTTCCCCCCACTTGGATTAGCAAAGCATCCATCAGCATGAAAGGGTTATTTACATTCCCCATACAAAAGAATGACATCTGTTCATATCATTAACAACTAGATCTCTTGTATTCACTGATGGTTAGGAGAAAGGGAAGTGAAGAGTCAGGACTTTGTCATCAATCTAGAGTTCTCCATGGACTGAATCGGTCCAGCCCTACTATTAGGCAGAGTGACACAGCTGCTTTGGGCTGCAGGCGCTGGTAGGTTAGAGAGCAGTGGTGAGGTGCTTGAGGGCAGCAGTGGTGGAGTTAGCTGCATGGGCGCCTGGAGCGGCGACCATGCCGTGCACCTGGGGGGGCAGGGCAAGCTGCGTGGGGGGCGGTGATCCGTCATGTGCGGTGGTGGCAGTGGGACCATCCACCGCACATGGTGGTGGCGGCAGGGTGAGCCCCTTGTGGTGTGCCTTTTTGTCACCCCCCCATGGATGACACCTGGGGCCAACCGCCCCCACCGCCCCCCCTTCCTACGCCCCTGGAGGGCAAAGCTTGGTGTGCCATGCAGCTTACTCCACAAGTATTGCCAGACATTAGGAAATCAATCTCATGTTGGCTTATTTGTTAGGGTTTGGTAACGATGTCTCAGTGGCGTAGGATAATAATAAGAATAAGAAGAAGAAGAAGAAGAAGAAGAAGAAGAAGAAGAAGAAGAAGAATATTTTTTTATTTATACCCCACCCATCTGGCTGAGGAAAACTAGGTGCTGTTTTCACACTGTTTTTGCCATTTTTGTGCTATTTTAGGGCCATTTTTGCCCCTTTTCGTGCCACTTCTAGGTTTGTGGTGATGTGTGTGCGCGTAGTCATGCATGCCTCGAACGCACGTAAATGGGGAGTTGCCTGTACTGCAAATTGTGAATCTGGGTGGTTTTTCCAATGGCAGCTGCCAGTGGTTCCAAACAAAGATTTAAAAAATCCATGGAGAGAGGGGACAACCCTGTCTAGGGGAAAAGCGGAGAAGAACCCATTATGCTGTATTTTGGATCTGGGCATGAAATACAAAGTGCGCACCCAGTGCACAATCTCCCAGGGTATACAAAATGCTGGAGTGTAGATAAAAGATGGGACCGTGGACCCTGTCTGCTCCACATCCAGAGAAAGGAGAGCAGAAGTTGATGTACTGGACCTATTCAGCCCAGTCAATTACAAGATGAAGATTATCAGCCACCTGTCGGTGACATACAAATCCGACCTGGTTTGGGTGGCTCAGCGTACCTATCTGTCTGCCACAACCGCTGCAAGGATCTTAGCGTCAGACTAGATATTGATATTGACTATTCAGCTTTTCCCCACAGAGATTCATGCTAAATCCCCTATTAGCATAATGCATAAACATGAGTCAAACAGAGAGCCTGTATTTACATTCATTTATCCAGAATTCATAAATGTTTTACACCAGCTTTCTTGCTGCAGTTAAATATTAAGTGCTTATATCAAGGTCAACCCTTCCTAGGGCAAGAAACTGAAGCAGAAGAGTTATAGATATGAGAATATTATACAGAGGGTTAATTAACACTTGAATCTGGGTCAAAAATGGCATACTGTACTTGATCCTCCAACTAATAGTTTAAATGTGCTGAAACATTGTTTGCCAGGGAGCTGGGATTTTTCTGATCCTATTGAAATGTAACCAGAAGGAAATAAATGGCTCGGTGCAACATTCAGTGGAGCAGTCAGAGATCAAATATCCATGTTCTTTGGGGAAGATTTCGAAGCAACTGAGGAGCAACATGTTTCACTTCAATCTGGGATGACTCTGCCATGGATCCAAGGCAATCTATGGCAAATAATTAAGCAACTTTGAGAAAGTTTATATTATATCCAGATCCTCATGACCTTCTGTGTTGTTACTGCACAATTCCCCAACCTATATTCCACTCTCAACTTCTGCTTTCTTTTAATAGGAGGAACCGTGACAGTGAGGAGCTAGATTTCGGGGGAGACATGGGGCCGCCTCCAAGAGTTGCATCCCTATACAGACATTTTATTCCCTCTGTTAGAGATTTGGGGTAAACCCTGGAAATTAATAAATGCTAGGATTTTGTGTTCTTTGTGATATGAAGAGAGAATATAAGCTGCAAGGGGATTCCTGGCTGCCTTACGCAAACCAGTCTGGCTGGCTGAGGGAAGCGTAGAGCTGTTAGCATTACAATAGAGAGCCATTGAGGGTCATCAACAACTCCCTGTCCCAGGTGTGACCAGAGACAGGATATTTGGACGGTTGCCAGGGTAACTGCTCTGGGGGGGGCAGGGGGCTTCTGGGAAGAAGAAAGAGAAAGAAAGGGGCAGATCCACCTTGGCGAGGGTGAAGGAAGGACTGCCTGCAATGCTCTGGGCCATGCTGTAAGATCTGGACCCCCTTCAAGCAGTGGCGGAGCTTCATGCTCCGGCACTGGGGGAGGCGGAGAGCAGGCGGGGGCAGGGGTGGCGCACGTCCTGGGGCGTGGTGCCCCGCGTAGGCAGGGGAGCAGCCACAATGGCACCCCACTGGAATCGCGCTGCCAGGGGTGGTGCACTCCCCCTGCACTCCTCTTCCTCCACCAGTGCCTCCAAGCAGACCGAGGGTGTAAATAGGCAAATATTTCTTAAAGCAGGACAGCCTCCGCCGTGTCTTCTATTCTCAAAGGGGACACAGACCCTGTGGGGGTGTCTGAGATCCCATGCGCTCTTGCCATGGCTTGGCAGAGAGAGGGACAGGCGCCAGGCTTTTGTAACACCTCTCTCTGTAACATAGATACCATTACTTAGGTATGCTCTGCACCATGTTCTTGGCAGAATAATGGTACATTGGTGGTGGATTTTTCTTATTTTCTTATTAGTTGTGTTGCAGTCATTCCCCAATACTACCACACTATTGCTGCCTGGAGGGACTATTGTGCAGCAGCAGCAACAACAACAAAAGCGGGACAACCTCCTTCCCACAGCACATTTATGGTATGAAAAGTTATAGGATTTCAACAGGAAATTACAGAATATACACTGCTGTGCGTGTTTTGGAAATGAAGCAGTATGACCACCCCAAAACCTTTGCAGATGCAAGTAGTATCGAAAGTGAGATTGTGAATGTATGACTGCCCCAGTCACATCAACAGCACAAATCATCATGAATGCACACTAAAAAGGACATTTGGAAGTGCTATTACTCTAAGGTATGATACCATGACATGGAACATTTCTCCATACCTTTTCCACGTGATTAGTTGCCACTGACAGACATGGAGAAACCGCGTTGTGACATCACAATGTGACACTTCAGGTAAATTCTGCAGCATGTAGGTGCGAAGGAGGATCTGAACATTAGGATGCTGTTTTCTGCAGCAGCTCTAGCCATGTATTTAAACATTTATAGGCTATTTTTCTATTTAAAATAGTCGATGTAACCATTTCTTAAATAAACAGGAGCATTGAGAAGAAGACTTGAGTGGATCCATACAGCATTTGACACACTCACTTATTTACTATTTATTGTCTATATTTGTAAACTGCTGTTGAACCACAAAAGTGGCTTTCAGAACCAGATTTATAGTAAAAGAAAACCAGAACAACCATCAGACACATGGTAAATCATCAAGTGACTCTATCCAGTTTGGAAACCTAGAGTGTTTATAGCTCTTCTGCTTGGGCCAATATTAGAAGCTTTCACAGATGCACATTGTGGTGTCTTGTATGAAAAAACAACAAAGTATAATAATAGTGGCGGTGATAGCTAGTGTGATTATTTTTTTATCTGCACTACATATTTTCAAGTGTTCGATGCACTTTGCCTAGATTATTTGAAGAAGCTTTTAGCAATCCTGTATGGTAGGTCAGTGCTGTCCCTTTCATTTTGCAGACAGTTTTCAAAAGAATGGTGAGTTCATGAATAAGTTGAGATTTGGGCTCCCTGTTGCATCTTAACCCACCAGAATAAGAGATGCAAAATAGGTAAGATGCACTAGTCTAAAACAAGCCATTGCCTAACCTAAACCACAGCATCATACGTGAAATAGATATTTAAATGTGAAAAGCATGAATACTTGAAATGAAGAAGGGGGATATAGATGTGTCTCTGTTGCCTTAAAAAGATATACAGTGCAACAAAAGTGAGGACCCCCTCACGCCAAAACACAGCACATCTAAATGTTGAATCTTTATTTCTTTTAATCTCCTCAAAGAAGAACCAGTAGGGTTTGAAATGCACTGGAATAATAAATATCTCTTTTGTCTGCCCCATTGCTTTTTGCTCCTATTTCTAGTTTAAAAAAAGATATACCAGGAAAGGCCAGCCAATGAGCTTGACATCTGCTCTGAGAGGGGGCTGTGAAAGGGTTTTAAGAGTCATGATGGGGGACCATCTACGAAATCTCACTATGATTAAAGGTAAGGGCCAGCAGCACACATTAAGGCATGGGAAGGTCATGTCGTGCTTAACCGGCCTGCTGGAATTCTTTGAAGATACTCCTGCCCTGACAGATAAGGGGAGTTTAGTGGATTTAGAATATTTTGATTACCCAGAAGCATCAGACAGGATTCCAGGCTGGAGATTAATGACTATGGTAAAAAAAAAGAAAAAGGGGGGGGAAGGAGGGGGAGAAACTGAGTAAGAGGTAGCACAGTCCGCAGTGTGAAAGAAACAAGAATTGAAGGCTAGATGGAAAAATTGGTTCAGACAGAGAGGGACAGAATGCAATTGTAAGAAACACAGAGGCGGTTTTTGCAACTGTTGCACTATTATTAAATAAAATGTCCATTTGGTGAAAAAGGAAGGTCTTTTGAGTTCAGAGAGATTTCCATTTTATATTTGTTATTTGTTATTTGTTATTTATTCCTCGGAGCTGTTTTTAATCATTCCCAACTAAATGCAAAAAATACAGTCAAACCTCAGTTCCTGAATGGCTCCGTGTTGGAACGTTTCGGCTTCCGAATGCCGAAAACCCAGAAGTAAATGTCCAGTTATCAAACGTTTTTTGGAAGCCAGACGTCTGACATGGCTTCCACTCAGTTGCCCCTGTAGGAAACTTAACAGAGCCATGCCTTCAGCAGATGCCCTCACCTCCCTAGGGAAGTGCACCTGTTCCCATCGTTACTAACTTCCAGGAGGAATTTGAAAATAGTCTTGTTTACTCAGATATTTGGTGGCTGAAGAATGCTGCTCCTGGCAACCCAGAGATCATTGGATGGAATGACATTTTAACTGTAACAGCTTTTAGAATGTTTTTAATTGTAATTGTTTTTAGAATGCAATGGTTTAACCATCTTAGAATGTTTTTGATTTGGAATTGTGTATCTGTTTGCTGCCCTGAGCCCCTTCAGGAGAAGAAGAAAGATATAAATTCAGTAAATAAATAGAATATGAGGTTATTGTTGTTATTTTTATTAGATATTATTGTTGTTGTTATTAGTTAGTTAGTTGCTTTTCTTACAAAGTAACCCAAAGGCACTCACTTTAAAACAGGTATGTCAATCATGTAAGTGGCTGCTTAGCTAATAATCTACCTGTACTTGCGTTTGGCTTTTAGCTGAAGCGTGCCCAGCTGTCCAACTTTACAGAGGAGATCTCTCTGTTTGGAGGGCTATCAGAGGGACCACCTCTGTTTGTTGGCTTTAAAGATAAAGGTAAAGGTAAAGGTAAAGGGACCCCTGACCATTAGGTCCAGTCGCAGATGACTCTGGGGTTGCGGCGCTCAATTCGCTTTATTGGCCGAGTGAGCAACTTCCGGGTCATGTGGCCAGCATGACTAAGCCGCTTCTGGCGAACCAGAGCAGCGCACGGAAATGCTGTTTACCTTCCCGCCAGAGTGGTACCTATTTATCTACTTGCACTTCGATGTGCTTTCAAACTGCTAGGTTGGCAGGAGCAGGGACCGAGCAACCGGAGCTCACCCCGTCACGGGGATTCGAACCGCCAACCTTCTGATCGGCAAGCCCTAGACTCTGTGGTTTAACCCACAGCGCCACCCGTGTTCCAAGTCAGCTTTAAAGATAGACCCCCCCCCTAAAAAGGACAACCAAGGGTCTTGACCCATCAACACAAAGCACCTGCAAAGCAGACACAGAGGTGATTTAGTCAGAGTTTTCCCCAGTATGGTGAGATGTACTGTAAATTGTAGTAATTGCTTCTAAATTTGCATCAACACATACGCATTTTCACTTGTAAATTTTGTGCAAATTCACATCCTCTTTTGCCCTCCTTTATTGGTGATGCCTTTCCTCAATGCATAAGTGCCTCCCTATTTATTTGTAAATGAATGTAAAATGTCTTCCATGGGGAAAAGAAAGCCTCTCAAGAGAGAATAAAAATCTTTCCTGAGCAATCTCATCCTCTTTGCAGCCTTGCCCTCCTGAGCTCAAATGTTTTTAATATAGGCTGGTGCTCTCTTTTCCTGACACATGTCTTGCTTGTCAAATCTGTCGATTTAAAACTTCTGGTGCACTTGAATATCCAAGACCCAAAAGTTACTCATCTTGTCGCCTTGACGGATCTCTGTATCTCTCCTTCCTCTCTTGCTCCAACTACCTTAATTGCCAGACAGGAGGCCCATTACGCTGTAATTCACTGTTTGAGGCGAATGAAAAGGCTAATTTTCTCCCACAGGCCTTCATTATCTCTCCTAGACCTACAGGAAAAACTCTGCAAAGCATAATTATCATTCATTTCCAGATGATTTTGCCTGAATGCACTCTCCTTTCTTAACAATATAGTCTCTTTCTCCTGACTCTGGCTTATCAGAAGTAATAACAGAGAAATAAGAGAGGACATGGATTGCTCTGAAATGCATTATGTGTGTCAGCCAACTATCAAAGGCACAAAGCAGCAAGGTACATATAGAAGGAAGGAGCTGGGATTTAAGAGGCCACAGAGTTGGTGAGGTTTTGTTCTCCTTTTCCCCACACAGTGGGAAGTTCAGAGCAGCCCTTGCAGGATCAGTTTCTCCCAGAGAAAAGAGTCTGGGAGACCTATGGGATGTTCTTACCCATATTCATGAGAATCTTAAATCTGCTTTGACAAAACATAATATGGAGTTCTCTCCACTGTAAGCCGACCCTCCATGTTCTTCTGTTTAAAGCACTGAATATCTCCTCCCCCCCCCCCCAAATTAGGGTAACTGCTTCACTAAGCCCCAGGCACAAGTTATAGCCAATTCAAACACAAAGGTCATGCACAGTACAGGAATAACGCTTTGTTGCAGGCCACTAGCTTGCTCAGGTGGTTAAAAAAATAATAATCCCAGGGCAACACTATTAGGTTTGGTTTTCTTTAGACGAGAGCGCTCTGAGACTTAGGACATTAAAAAATATATTTATTTGCTTTATTTACAAGCTTATATACAAATAGAGCACAAGCAGATGCAATGTGGCACTCCTGTGAGGGAGCAGACTTGCAGCATAAGAACATAAGGACATACGAAGGCAAACATAGGAAGGAGAGCTGGGGGGGGGGCGGAATCACATCCAGCAACCAATGCACCCCTTTGGTTTCAGATAGTACGTGGGTGGACAAGTCTAAACAGCCAGGGACACATAATTTCATGGCCCTCTAACAGCTATGTGGCTCATTTACCAGAAGTAATGTATTTAGCATTAACTCTGGAAGTGTATACTCGATTCTGACCAAACTAGGAAGGTGAGACCTCAGACGCTCCTCAAGAGCTCATGCAATTTTTGTGAGATCTTGCCTGAAATTGGCACCACTGGCACATAGCTATCAACCTTCCCTTTTTCTGTGGGAAATTCCCTTATTCCAGCTGTAATGGTTCTAGGAGTTGCTCGTGCGTAAGCCGGTGCAAACACCTGGCTGGGTTGCCTGAGTGAACCTTTTCTGTCCAGACAGCCACTCACCCGTGGCTGTCTCAATCGCTGGCAGAATCCGTCAGTGGGCGTTTCTTAAACTTCTTCCAGCAAAGAAGCTCTTTGACGCCTAGTCTCCTCCTACTCTCTCTGCGCGAAAGCCTTCTGCGCAAGGAGGGCGTAGGCAGCGGAGGACCTCTACTCTCCCCGCTGGTCCCCGGCAAGGAGTCATGGGACCGCCTCGCCGCTTCCCCCATCTGCCCCCCTTCTCCACTGGTGCTATGCTGATTCTCTTCCCCAGAAGATGGGCTGCCTCTCCCACTCCTGGGACGCTCTCCGGAATCCCCCTGGATTTTGCTTTCTCCCTCTGGCACTGATGGCAGTTCCCTGACACCAGCACTGTTTCCCGCTGCTTCCCGCTGCTATCCCGGGTTGTTAGATATCCCGTAGACTGTTCCCGGGACAGGTGAGGCTGCTGATCCCTTATTTTTGAGGCTGCTGATCCCTTATTTTCAAATCTGAAGGTTGACAGCTATGCACTGGCAGAGGTAGCAGGGCAGGCGGGGTGCCTGCAGACTGACCCTTCTTCCTAAGACCACCTAGTGAATTTATGGCTGAAATAACTCATGTGCCAAGC